GGTATAACGCATCTCGTACTTATTCCAAATATGCAATCTGATATTGAATATCTTTACTGAAAGCCGAGTTATGGAAGATTAGTCTAATTTGATTAGGTTATTTGTTACGGGTCGTTAAAGAAATGTTATTCGTAAATTATCGAAATTGGCAATCCAACTACATTCACAAAGGTGTAATTTGTGCGGTGATTCTACTCTAGATCTCACCTGAGATGGTTCTGTTACTAAAAGACGATTGTAATTATAGTGTAAAGGACGTGCTTCCTCGTCATTTAAGAAAGTAATCAATTGAATATAACTCTTAAGTTGGAAAATTATAAAAATAGCATCACTGCACAGCCCCATTCTTCCCGACTAAAATAGGCACCAAACGTGTTAATATTGTCCAAGACGAACTTCAGAAAACGCCTGTAAGTCATCGGTACTTGTGAAAGAGAAGGGAAGAGAGAAAAAACATTTGAAGTATGCGTATTCCTACTAACTATAGTTCATAGAAAATCAAGACTTCATATTTTTTTAATATTTGAAAATTAGATAGAGCAATATTAGTTTGTACAGAGCTGGGTGGGTATGTCTAAATATCAGAAAAGCCGTTTTTTTTTTTCAAAAAAACCTTTTCCCAACTTTTTGCTATTTAAAGACCAGCCTCCCTCCTTCAGGGAAATTTTCTTTCTTTAGCATCAGAGGAAGTCCAAAGCAAGCCCATAATAGACATAATAATATCATTATGATCTGTTGACTAGCTGCTCTGCCACATTCACGTAAATGTTCTCATAAATAACAAATGTTTAAAGTTCGAAGTCGATTTTCTCAAAAACCTTAATTTTGTAAATTTTTATTTTTTTTATATTATTTAGTCGACTACAAAAAAAATAGAAAAAATCTAGAAATATTTTGGTTGCATGTTCTCTATTTGAGCCGCAGTCGTGTGAAATGTGGGCTTATTTGACTAAAATACAGCAACCTTACCGGCAATGTGCGCCTCTATGATTTCAAAAATATATTTTCATTAGAGTAGATTGTTGGGCTAGTTGGTTTTGGAACTTGGAATACATTTTAGCGCTCAAAAAACATGGACAAAGAGACGAGAAACAGACAGCACAGTGCGCTACTAACTTCTTATTTTGGTTAAAGATTTTGCAAAAGACCCCTTCGCAAGACTGCTTCTTACTAGAATATGAAGTCTGTTTGAAAAGGAACGACGCATCGTTGGCTAAGCTAGGACTCCAACTCGAAGACGTACCGGAGCTTGCCTTGTAAAAATGCAATAAGTTTTTAAAAAAACAATTCGATGTTACGTGTTTTTTTAACGAGTTTCAGAAGTGGAAAAAAAATGCATTCCCGACTTCTTCACCAGACGGGCCCAGCAAAAAGTCATATGGCTAGGGAAAGTGCATGTGAAGTCACGTGCTGTCATCTTGCACTTCGATTTTGCTGAAAACTAGAGCGTCGTGATCCAGCGTGCGGTGCAAGCTAGACATCACTGGAAGAGCAAGATGGTTTCCATCTTTACCTGCGTGGCTACGACCGAACAGGGAACGTTAATCTTCGTCGCAGTGAGCGACGACATCGTCTACGACTCGTCCCACGCGCTCTTTGCGCTCAGCGCCGTCGAAGGGCGGCTGGAGGAAGTATTATTTTCAAGCAACTTGTTTACATTTCAGAGGGCGCTCCAAGCCACTTCAAAAACAGGCACCAGGTGTACGAATTCAATAAAGAGAATGTCGTCACCAAGTGGATTTCCACATCAGGGCACGGAAAAAGCTCGTATGATAGAGTTGGCGGCATGCTCAAGCACCAGGCATCGTAACTTGAAACTACAGAATTGTGCTTCATAACGAGAATGTATGTATGTATGAAAAACTTTATTAAAGGTATATCATGAGGGAGGTAGTTTGAGGTGGCCCGGAGGGGGCCATCTCTCACAAGCACTAGGTGGACTCCTCAGTACAGGAGCCCATTGGCGACTGCCGCGGTTCGGGCTCGGTCAACCAGGGCCTTCTGGCCCTCCAGGTCGGAGCAGTCGAGCAGGGCTGCCTCCCAGTCCTCCCGGGTGGGGTTGGGTTTTGGGACGAGGTTGGCGCAAAGCTTCGTTGAGGCACTCAGACCGAAAGTCAACGGGGTCGTTCTACTCTCAATCGCCAAAGTGAAGCTCACGCGTTTCCGGGAGCTAAAGAAAAAAAGAGTGGGAGGAGGTAAACCTACCCAAGGGGCATCCGATCCTCACACGAGTGGAGGAAGACACTCGAGGAAGGCGCCTTGAACGTTGACCTAGAAAAGATTTACGAAAGCCCAAAGTACCTGCGCACACGTGTCAAGGCATGCACGTACCGCTTTATGTCCCGAAGTTTAGAAGATCATCAGTGAGTGCGTGCCGGCATGTTCAAAACTGCAATTGTGGACTGCGTGGCTCCTACACAGGGTGAAAACTGATGCACAGTTACGTCGAATTAGTAAAAAAGTGTACTGCCTTCAAAAAACGTACCATCGATGTTTTGATGTTTTTTTTTTTTACTGGTTCTGTGCGCGCGTTTCTACATTACTGAGGTGCAAGAACTGTGCAGTCAACCGTCGATGATCTGCAAGATGTGAGGAGAACAAAACCCTGCGCATATTTCCAGAAGATTTATGTACAAGATTTGAAATTTTTTTGAGAGTTTATCGTTTTATCGTAATAGGCTGGATAATGAATAGCCACCTTCGTTTACTTTGAACCGTTCTATATAGAATTCTTTTTTTGACATGTTGCGTGGCCTTTTGATTTGTATATTCTTGTTACTCATTGTTTTGTAGTGTGCTTATATGGCTTCTCTCTAATTTCAAGTTTTAAATTACAATGAGTAACACAACTTCGCCTTCTTTACGTTCAATTTAAACAAAATAAACAAAATTAAAAAAAAAAATTTTTTTTGAAATCGTAGAGGCTCACAATGCCGGTAAGGTTGCTCTATTTTACTCAAATGAGCACACATTTCGCACAAATGCGGCTCAAATAGAGGAAACACAACCAAAATATTACATCTCTAGATTGTTATTTTCTTGTAGTTAACTAATATTTCTAAGTGATCTATTTTTGTTAATTTACAAAAATGTGCTTTTTGAGAAATTATATTTCAAACTTTCAACATTTGTTATTTCTTACAACGTTTACGTGAATGTGGCCGACCGGCTACTTGACTGATCATAATGGTATTATTGTATCTATAATGGACCTTCCATAGAGCTAAAGAAGGAAAATTTACCTTACGGAAAAAGTAAGGACCTGTCAAAGTTGGTCAAAAATCGACCTGAACGACAAGTATGATATTTCTACTTTTTTTTCGAAAAAATTATAAATATTTGAATACATCAAGCCATCTTTATAGTATCTAATAAATAAGTTAAAAAAAGCTAAGACGGTGGAGGAAAAAAACTAGCGTCAGCAGAGGGTGTCGAACACGCGACCTGCAGCGGCAGGCAAAAATATTAGTTTCTGCCACTACGCCTTCTACGCTTCCAGAACAAAAATCTGGAGAACATGCGGTTTGCGGCCTCTTTCATTTGAGAAATGCCCCCGTAACATTTTTTTTTTTTTTTGTCAAAATAAAAAACTAGACCCTTTTAGCCTGCACGATTTGAGATGAAACCACCCAGATGGTATGGATTGCGTCCGTTGTGCACAAAGCATCAGAATGGCGGCGGCAAGCAGAAATTTGGGGAATCAAGTGCCGATACTCGAAGCACAGCTTACTTAGTCTCTTGTTGTAGCCTGAAGCAGTGTTGTACACGTTCCTCAGAAAAAAAAAAAAGAACCAAAGCTCGCTCCTCGTTCCTTCTGATTTTTGGAACGCGTTCCCGTTACAAGTTCCACCTGCGAGAAAGGAACTCGTTCCCGTCATAATTAAACAAATGGAACGTATCGTTTCATATACGTTACTTTTGTATTATGCCAATTCCTAGATCAAACGATGTCTTTTTTTTTTATTTATCTATTCTATCAAATGGCAACATACGAATTTGAATGCCGTGATGGAAGGACACCAGGGAAGAAAACAAGCGGAAACAGGGTGTTACTTGTTAATATATTCAAGTTTGAAATTGTTCACCTTTTAACCATATTCATGTTTGTGGTGGACGATTTAGACGAACCAAATGTACGGTTACCCCACTTTGCACGAGCGTTTCGCAACAACCTCACATGTTTACAAAAGTATCTTGTTCGAACTTAACAACAGTTGCTTCTCGATGTTGCTGTCCGCAGGTCGAGCAAGTAAAGAAGGGGTTAGGGCTTTTGGAAGGTCAGTCTTGAAAACTAGAAGTGCTTCTTCATAAATATTGGATTCGTTGTTCAATTTGAAGGTGGGGGACAAGGGGAGAAGGAATGAAGTAAATTTTTGGCTATCTCTTCACTGACCACTGTTCGGGGCGCATGGGTGCGTCCGATGTCTGGTAACCTGTTATTGTGTTGTAACTGTACGTCTCGTTGTGGTAGTTTAGTGATGGCTGTAGTCGGCCTTACATATCTCGGAGTATCAAGATCCGTGGAAGCAAAAAAAGTAGCTGAGTTTGAAACGTCCCTCTTTCTGTGTATTTTCCTTCGACTAAAGTTTTGCTCTTTGTACGGCAGTGGGGCACTCAAAGAAGATTCAATGTTCACTAGCTCTCCTGCACCCGACTGTTACCAAGCGAGGACCACACAAGATAAACCCTAAGAGAAGTAACCAAACAGTTAACGAGATCCTGCTCTTCGTAAAGATATTGTTTTCATACTTTTAGCATTTCCCTCTTGGAAATAAAATAAAAATCACTCCACTTAACGAAAAAAAGAAATGCCGTTCCTTTTTCCGTTCCAGTAAAAATGTAACAAGTTCTCGTTCCACTTCCACGGATGCAAAATGGAACGGTGGCGTTCCTTCGTTCCTCCTAAAAGGAACGCGTTCTAGGAACGCCGTTCCGTACAACACTGGCCTAAAGTGTGCCCCCTCTGGAGTCTGGACTCACGGAGGTCACTTCTAACGCAGGTTAATAGCTGCCTCGCTCCTCTTCTGGGATCACCAAGACTCCTGGCTGTGCCCGGAGTCCCTGCACATCTACGTGTACCTGGCCGGCGCCCAGGTCTTTGCCGCCGCAGTCATTATTCTGTGCATAATCTGCGTTCTGGTCAGCACACGGGGCACGATCCTCCAGGTAAGCCGTGGGCGGCGACGTTTAAACTGCTGCAGTAGCAAAGCCCCATTAATAGACCCTTTTCAAAAGTGCTCGCCATCTGGTGGTTTGTGCGCCAATTACCCGAGTCCGCCATTCTTTGGGCACGTGCTCTGAGCATGTATTAGACGCGAGAGCTGAGTCAGCGTTCGACGTGAGCTCGACTCAGTTCGTTTCAAAAACAAGTGGTGCGTCAGCGCTCCGCAAAGATTTGGATCCCGTCCTCGCGCTAAGTGCCCAATGGATAGATGAATGGATGTTAATGGTCATACCCAGAGCGTTCTATGGACTATAGAGAGAGTTTGGTCAATGGGAGGAGCGAGCAGAGCCAGGGTGCACACCAGATACAGAAAGATGGCTTGACATGCCCTCATGGCCAACCAAAAGCCAAAAAGAATCCCCTAGTGGTGGTAGCGAGAAACTGTTTTAATCAAAGGCGTATGTTGGTATATGGTTTTAATAAGCGCGTAAGAGTTAAATGTAGTAACCCTTCGTGGTTGATAATAGGGTGCATGTGATGTTTCGATTATGATCGTGCAGAAAGATGTAAGAAACGAATGTGGCCACTCGAACTCTGTTTTGCTCCAACAAAGTGTGGCCGCTCGGACGGCAGGTTCCCGACCCTCGGTACCTGGCGTACGGATTATGTCGATCGTTCCGCTAGTCGCGCTCTTCCAACATGATTTTGGATGACCGTAATTGAAACATAACGTGCACCATATTATCAGTCACCGAGAGTTACTCGGACGCACTTATTAATTTTGTTTCTCGCGACCACCGCCAGGGCATTATTTCCGGCTTCTGGTTGGCCACAGTCGAATTTATGAAGACGTCCTGGAACACGCCCAGGACGCTTTCGGCCATTGGCGTCACCTCATTTGACTCGTATTCTTCCCAATGAATGGCCAAACTCTCTGTATGTATGGCTCTGGCTATAGCCTTTATAACGGGCGGTACCTATAGCGCCACCTAGCCTAAATCTAAAAAATAAATGGTGACCGCCATTGTTGCTTAATGGGATTTTGAAAAAACAATGTCTGTTAAAGCCCATTTCACGTGCTGCGTTGACTGACGTGCTCCGCAACAAACATTGCAGCCGCACTTTCGCAGCGGTTTTATATATTTGCGATCGGTGCAAACGCTGCCTCACTAACCGCAAGTCGCGCGGTGACGTGTCACGTGACCGGAAGAAGCAGAGCAGAAGCTGCGTGGCCGGAGTCACTCTCTGGACAGTTGTTTCAGCTGCTCTAGGGGAGCATCGAGAGCGATATTTATTGTAGCTTAGAAGGGTCACGGATTCAAGACCCAAACTAATATATGAGCACCTTAAACCTTTTGTTCGAATGATGTAAAACGCGTAGTTTTTAGTTACTTAAACATTAAAGTCCAACCTTTATGTCGTTTACGTTTCATCACAAGCAAAAACAACCGCACCGCAGCAAGCAAAGCAGCAATCTTATGGTGGATGGGGCATGTGAAACCAATCATTGCAAATAGCGTTGCTGTGCAAACTGCCACATCTATGTTTTCTGCAAGGGCGCTGCATGTGAAACCCCCTTATTGCGTGACCACTAAGCAGCCAATGCCATCGCAGAAACACCCGGCAACGACAATCATCCAGTACAATTAATACTACCATGTATTTGCACCTCTCGAGGTCCCTAAACGTACATTGCGCCTCAGTGCACTACGAGCACCAATTGTCGATTGCCATTGGATCACTACAGCCAACGAAACGAGCTTGCGGTACCGCACACGAATATTCGTGCTGCCTCAGCGAAACAAATAAACCGTCTACCATAAAGGCTTGGGCCGGCTATATGGGTAGTACGCTCACTAGTAGAGATTACATATTCCAGAACGTAATACCGAAGGTTTGGTGAAGAAAGCCAAGGCACAGTTGGCCACCTTGGATTCAATCCGCCAGCCAATCACTTCCACTCATTCTTTGACGTCACTGACGTCAGGGGCTGATGAACTGGCGCACGCTAATTTCAACGTCGTTCTCGCCAAGGAACGCCGACCTCCAGAAGTGCACCCGGGTTTACGTCGCAGAGCTGTGCCGTCATTCGTTTTTGTGCGCGGTAATTTCTGTGCGACGATGTGCGATTTCTGCGATCTTCTCGCCGTCCAACTTAGTCGCTGTCGGCGTCCTAAGTGCCTCTGCCCGGACGATCGCGTAAGCCTCGTTGGACGAGACCGACAAAAACGGTGCCGATCGCTTCTTTTCAACCGTTTTATAGTGTTCCCCACTGAGACAAGCCGCGTTGCAAACTCGTGGGGATACGAGCGTTTTGTCGTGATAGTTTTTGTGTGACGATGTGAGAGTTGTACAGTCGTGTTCTCTGTTCTCTCTGCTCTCTGCCTTCGCTTGGAAAATCGCGTCCCGTCGTGACCAACGAAGCTTCCTCTAAGCCGATGTCTTCTCTTCGTTCGTTTAGTGTTCGCCCTTGTGACAAGGAATGTCGCAAAATCGTTATGGTGTACGCGCTTTTTCGTGGTGGCGTGACAATGTTGCCGACCCACAACTATCGATGCCAGCAGTGCTGCTTCACTGAACCCGGCCCGCTTCCCAGCTTGCTTTAATAAATAAAGCATGCCAACTGCGATATTCAGTTATCCTTGGAGCTGGCGCCCTCGCCGAGCCTAGTCGTTGTGATCGGTCGGTGGTAAATCGGATAAGCAGTAAAAGACCTATTGCTATGTTACCCAAGCATCAAGGAGAAGGCAGATATTCGTGTTCCATGCGCCGCACGTGCCGGCCTCAGCATTAGTAAATGCCTAAAACAAAATGCATCTTGCACGCGCGTTCGTCAACGCTTTATTTTGGTTATTTATTTCGAATCTTTTATACCGGGAAGGCGTGCGCGTGTGGTGCGTGGAACACCAATTCCTGCATTCTCTTTGATGCTTGGGTAATATAGCAAAAGGTCTATTTCCTCCTCCTACCAATGTCACACATGATGCTGCCGTCACCCTAGAAAAAGAGGTAGGAAATCTACCAGCTTCTAGCCTCGCTCGAGATAACACCTCGCAGCGATGTCGTCCCGTTCAAAAAGCAGCGAGATCGCGCCCGAAACCGACGTTGCTGTTCAGTGGCGTACCAACTTGTTTTTGAGTGGGGAGGCAAACCAGACACCCCCCCAGAGCCTGTGGGCGGTGCCCTTGGTATCCTTTGGGCGCCGCCGGCCAGTGTTTGCCTTGCCCAGTGTCGGCTGTTTTGAAGGGGAACGCGGGGGGGGGGGGACGGGGGGGGGGGGGCGCAAAACACATGCCTTGCCCCCCCCCCCCCCCCAACTCTGAGGACTGGGGGCGATAAGCGCCCCCCTTGCCCCCCGGTTGGTACGCCCATGTTGCCGATGTCACCATATCGACCAAGTCGCGGAGCAGACGACGCACTACGTGTTGCCACAGCTCGCACGACTCCGCCGGCTCCCCAATTTCACGGTGATATATAACAGCCCTTGTGCACTGTGACTAAGCGAGGTAGTAACGCGTTGACGCCACCAAATGTCAACGCTCATAACCACGGGACGCTTGGCCATAGGGAGGCTGATGACGCCGCGGGCAAGTAGCGGGCTGACGGGCATCTCTACACGTACCGCGCTTTTCAATGGCCGATTTCGAAGCGCTCGCCAGAATCGAACATTTAGAACAAAGAATACAGCCAATCGTTCAAAATTCAAGCGTGCGATAGTCATAAACAGATAGAGTTGATCATGTTCAACTTGTTCCGGAATGTCAGAGGTATATTTTAAGTTTCGACTCACCGCCACTTTAAGACTACAACAGAAAACGATCACTCGTTTTCGGGCACCTCTACCTCTTTCAGGCGACGCCCCGTAAGCACATGTCTCTGGTGCTGTACATCAAGACAGCACTGGTCGTCACCGAGATCTTCTGGCAGGGGTTCGGCACGGTCAGGATCTACTTCTACCAGGACGAGTGCGTGCCGCTGGAGCTCTGGCACACGCTACGAGTAGGTACACCTCGCCCTCTGACGCGATACGATTGTCTGTAGACGCAAGGCCGATTGTCTCCTCGTCTAGATATTGTCTCAAAATTTAACCATCGTCCACGTGTCTAACCATTGTCCCTAGATCTAACCCAAAGATATAATCTACAGGTTAGATTTGGACACCTAGAAGCAGTGTCTGTGCAGCGCGCAAAGCCACGATCCCGCAGCTACTACCATCCTACAGAAGGCAGTCTGCAAACGCAGCCTGAGGAACGTTTCTTTCTTGTGTGACGGTACTGTCATTTTGTTCGTACAAAAACTTTCTACGAACCTTTTCCAAGAACATAAATGTACGAAGCAAACAGACTTGGAGCATTCATGAGGCGTGTCCGCAGAGACTTTCGTCATCATGTGGCCGTGTCTTTTGTTTGGTGTATCAGCGGTGCGACTCTGGCTTTAAGCAAGAATTAACATACTGAAAAAAACAAACGCACCCATATGACCGATGTTCCCTGTAATGCCGCGTGAGAAGAAATATTTAAAAAATTAGTAGATTTATCGGTGCACTCTACAATTTTGAGAGGTTCGAAACAGCTTTATTGTACTCGTACACGCGTTCTACATTGAAAACGTGCGAAATATTATCGAGAGATTCTGTCTCATCCATCTAATTAAAATATCGCTAAATAGCAAATGAGTCGGAACAAATAAAAAAACCTACCCATTTATGTGCTTTTTTATTGATACCTAAATGAGTATGAAAACAAAATACAGGTCGCAGCTCAACATGAGTGCATCATCCGAACTCCGCCCTCGTTTTATGAAACAGTGCTTTAGCAAACAATGTGGCATTAGTCATAGAATAATTTCTGCTTGCATAAGCTATGTTTTTCATGTTTTTAGTTTTGCGATTAAAACATTTAGTGTTAATAGGGTGGGTTTATCGATATCGAAAAGCTAGTGGCGTGGCAAAATACCTGAGAGGTCGCGATAATTTTTTGTTTGGTAGGTCGTAGGATAGCGGAGTTTTGAAAACACCATGTATAATGATGTTGTAACACATCTATAGATACTAACTACTTCTTTTCTCCAGCTCAGCATGGTTTTCGAAAGGGCCTTTCGTACGTGACTCAGCTTGTTGAACTTTACCATGATCAATTGTTACAACAACTGAGAGTGGAAGTTAAACGCATGCTATTATCCTTGACTTCGGGAAGGCTTCTCATTCTGTGTCCCACCCTTTGTTGTTATATAAACTGCGCTTGTTGGGCCTCGATAATTTTTTGAAAGAAAGCAGTGGTGTGGTCATTAACGGTGCAAAATCTGAATTTTTTGCTGCGACATCTGGCATTCCGCAGGGGTCAGTATTGGGGCCTCTCTTATTCCTCGTTTTTATAAATGACATAGCTGTAGGTATTGACTCGCCTGCGAGGCTGTGCGCAGATGATTACGTTTTATATCGCAGAGTAGAACATTTACGTGTTCTGCACTTTTACAATCTGATTTAGATAAAATATCCAGTTGGTGCCGGACGTGGGAATTAAGTCTCAATGCTGACAAGTGTGTCCACGTCACTTTCGGGAAAAAACGCGACAGCATCTTATCGTGTTACTCTATGAATTATCGACATTTACATAGAAACATGCATCTGAAATATCTTGGAGTCATTTTATCAAGCGATCTTTCTTTTATTGCTTACGTAACACAATGTGTACAAAAGGCTGGTAGAATGTTAAATTTTATTAACAGAAATCTACGCAGTGCTCCCAAAGAGCTAAAAGAAACTGCTTACTGTTGCTTGGTAGGACCGATGCTTGAATATCCGTGTGTTTTGTGGGACCCGCACCAAGCGTACCTCGTCATTAAAATAGAAAAAATTTTAAACCGTACTGCAAGGTTTGTATCGGGAAAGTACGATAGAACATTCAGTGTGACAGAAATTAAACGTGAGATCGGTTGGGAACTATTAGATTTAAGGAGAAAAAAATTTCGTCAAAAGTTTTTATTTTCTATATTTAGTAACGTCACTAGAATTGATAAGTATAAATATCTTGAATTACCAAACTATATTTCAACCAGAATAGATCATCGTAACAAGATCAAGGAAATATTTTGCCGAACTGATTATAAAAAATATTCATTTTTCCCGCGTACAATAATGGACTGAAATTCATTGCCTGCATCAAAATTTAGTACAGATTACGTAGGATATTTTTTTCCTGTGTCCCGAATTTTTTAACATTCAAGAGTTTGTGTGTGTTCTTTTACCTAACAGTATTTATTGTATTTTTGCCATTGTATTTATGTTCCTGATAATGTGTTTTATTTTGCGTTTCCCTGCTGTAATGCTCCGGCGCTGCAGGTTGTTTCTGTAAATGAAAACAAAAATACGTCATAAAGGTTATATCGTAATAAAAAAAGGAATACGTTTGTGTTTAGAGAGTGTAAGGTCGGTCAGCCATTGACGTATGTCGCCGCGGTCGAGCGTACGGTGAGAGGGTCATGGCCGTTTTCTTCGTCAGAGTCCAGCAAAGCATTGTGTCGTGGTGGTGGGCGCGCTTCGACAAAGAACTGCGACAGCGAGACTTCTGTTGAATGTGGATGGACCCTCTTCGTTCTAGTCTTTGTGTTTGCGTTGTTCTCTGCGTCCCGCGACGGCGTACGCGTCTATCACATACTACATTAGATTGCCATTCTCTTTGTATGTGCTATGATAGTGATAAAAGGGGAAACGGTCGTCCATATTTACTCGTTCTGCTTCCCTCTTGATCTCCGTAGTCCTTCACGTTTGGTTTGTAAGGCAAACATATGTGGCGGTAGCACTGAGTTCGATCTCTGTCGCGTGCTTGGCTCTCCGTCATCCTTAGGCAGTTCTTCGTTCTTTTTGTGTGTGCACAAGCCCACAGATAACCACATTACCCATTTTTTTGTCACTTTTACTTTCTTGTATTAGACAACTGATGGTGGTAAGCATCATAAGACATCTCTACGTGGCTGGGGAAAAAAAGTACTGTGGTTTGTGTTTGCACGAGGGCTTAGAATAAAGTCAAGTGAAAGCAGTGATTTATTTTCTATCCACTCTCATTCTTTCTCTCTCTCTCTTTTTCTTTCTCTCTCTCTCTCTCTCTCTCTCTCTCTCTCTCTCTCTCTCTCTCTCTCTCTTGGGTGGGGTCGGGTCGGATCGGGTGAAAGAGGTCCAGTTATTGAACGGAGGGTTCGAGTCGCTTGGAGCCGATTGGTTCGAAATCAGGTCGGTGGTGATCCAGTTGAGTTGTGCCAGTTGCTGCAACGTGGGAAATCATGTCGTAGTCGCGGTTGTTCGCACAGCCCTAGTGGTCGAATGGTGATCGTCGTCCTTGCTGAGAGGAACTTCGTGGTGGGCGGGCTTGAGACAGTCTACTCAAGCGATTTCGTGACGATTAGGTCATTGATGACAGTTTTTGCTCCTCTTGTAATTAACTGATAGCAACAACTGTAAGGTTGTTAGAGGGGTCTCTTAACTCCGTCCTTGCGTAGGAAAGCATGCGTGCACATGTACAAGGTGTGTGAGGCGTAGATGGTATGCCGTTTTTGTTCTCGCGATCTTGTGGGCGGACACCCCGCGTTGACCATCGAGGTTTGAGTTGCTAAACTCGTAGGATCAGGAGCAAGCTCATCTGGTTAGAGGTAAAAGATTCTAAGGGAGGCGTAGCGTGTAGTCGTACCAGCTCGACCACACCACGGCCGCGGTCGCGTTCGACAGCTGCTCGTCTTCCCAGTAGGACCATGGGTGAGGTAGTGCTCCACCTAGTCGGGTGTTCTTGGGTCATGGGTGATGAAAGCGTTCCACGAGGCCGTTGGCCATCGAGTGGTAGGCTGCTGTGCGGATACAGCTAGTTCCCAGAAGTATGAGTAGTTTCTCGAACAGCGTCGGGCTCAAAATGACGGCATGGATTTGTCGTAATGGTTGAAGGGACGCCGAATCGAGAAATCCACCTCTGCACCAGAGCTCGAGCAATGGTGTGAACCTGTCAGTTCTTCGGGCAAAGGTGTGAGCCTGTCGATGCCGGTGGGCAGGAAGCGGTGCCTCCCAGATGGAGGCAGGGGAATGTGAATATGGTCGAAGTGTTGCATAGTATCTGGTCAAGATCCATTTGGTACAGATCTATGGCACTGAACCTTGAATTTTGGATGTTGGAGGCAGCTTCGAGCCCAGGATCGCACATTTTTGTTGATGCCCGGCCAGAGGTACCGTTCAGTCACTAAGTAATGTGTATCCCGGATACCAGGGTGAGCTATATTGCGCGGGGAATCGAAGACTTGTCTGCGGAAGTCGGCAGGGACGATTGGTCTTGTTGCTCTAGTGGAGACGTCGCACACGACTTTCGCGACGCCACCGGGCAACGAAACCTTTTGAAAGAGGAGTTGGCCCGGCGAGCAACGTAAGCGTTGAAGTTTCTATGTTGAGCTTTTCTAAGCCACTAAATCAGAAGATCTTTAAAAAAATTTGGAGCGCACGGGAAGTGTGCTGGTGCGCTAAAGTTACCACTCATGCAGCCGGAGCAAGGCTGGCGGCTCGAAATGTGGAGGATCATCTTTTTACCCGCGTCAACCCTAACAAATCCTCGAAAATATACGCATTTCGAGCAGCATCGTCATAAAGTACGGATGGTTCGCTTGTTTTTTACGCATTCGTTCATCTCTTGAAACCTGGCCACAAGCGCCTCGAGAGGGAACTTTTTGAGGACATCCCAGCACCTAACTACAGTCGGGATATAAAATCTAAGGCCTTCGAGCGCATCTTGGAACTGTGGCAAATCCTTCAATAATTGTCCTTTTTGAGAAAACCGGTCTCAAAGTGGGGATGATTCGGCTGTTTTGACGCCGAGCTATCCCTACGTGATAAGGGTCCTATGGGTCATATCTTCTTTCCTCATGTAAATTTCCCTGGTAGACCTTGCCTAAAACTGCATCCGAGTTTCTTGTCAAAAGTCATCGGCCTGATCCAGGCATATCCGACGCCCTTGTGCATCGCTGCAGACGCTCCTGTGGGTGGTCTGGGTCATGCTGTTCCTGCTGCTCCTATGTGCGTACTCCGTCTACAACCCGTCGGGCTCCATCAAACACCACCCGCGCAGGGACCTGTCCGATCTGGAAATCAGCGAGGACGTCAAGAACCTCTTCCTCGAACCCACGGAAAAGGGAAGCCGCAGGCTGCATAGGCAGTGGTTCAAACGGTGAGCATGCGCAATATCTATACACCTACTCATGTTTTCGAACAAACCCCGGAGCGCGGCACGGCACCGAATCCGCGCATGCGCGATGGGGTGTGGGCAAGAAGCGCCGCGTCCCGAATCAACACACCGTTGGAATGCGATGTCTTCGTCGTCGGTGGGAGTCCCTTCGCTCTTTTTCGTGTTGTAATTGTTGATTCTTTGTCTTTATAGAAATGTCTCATTACTTTAGTTGCCTGAGCGAAATTAACGAGGCTCGTTACACCACAAACCTTTTAGTAAAAAATGGGACGGTCGGCGATTGATTCCGGGTGAGCGCCGTAGAATTGACGCTAAAGCCTAATATACATGTTGAGATACGGCTCGCTATTTTCAGTCGCGACGTAGCTCGGGCTGCAAAAACGTGAACGGTAGCTGTGATTTTCGACGTCGATAGTAAAAATCGCAAGCGGAATCGAACCAAGTGATTCAGGCGTAACAAGTCGGAGTCGGCCACTTGTATAAAACGATCAACATCTCCTTGTATCCACTGTTTACACCGAGCCTGCTTAACCCCAGTCAACTTTTGAACTTAAAAGTATTCTAAGAGCTGCACTTACCGGAGCGTCTGGTCTACTGGCCGCTGTCGTATACGAACGAGTTTGAAAGAGAGCACGACAGTTTAAACGATCAGACGGCCGTGTGAACATGAAGACGCACTGAACGTGGTTCGAGGGTGGTATGGACTTGACGGTTTTTCCGCGTTCACGTTGGAACAAAAAACAAGTAAATCTGACTACCACAAGTCTCCGTGAACTGAAACCTAAAGTGCTTCCTGCACAAGCAATCGTGGTCCGACGATGTCCGATTTTCTCTTTTCACGGCACCCATCAACATTCTCCGACGAACCGAGCGAGCAGAAATCACGTGAAAGCTGATCTTCACACATTTCCCGACTCTTTGGAACAGCCCCGGTCGCGGCGTTACGTCAAGAAGGCAGGTCTGGTTTTGTCCAAAAGGACGCAGAAAATGCCCCGTCCCGCATGTCGACTTCCGCCCACAACCCCCAGACCGGAACTGTAAACGCTGTTACGCCAGCACCGCGGCGTGACGTAACAGCGTCGCCGCACGCTTTCATCTCCTCCTCTCCTTCAGTTTCTCTCCGTACATGGCGCAAACTGAGGGGAAGGGCGAGGCGAGAGCTCACAGTGGGACGTTAGAACACCGAGCTCTGGATGTAATGACTTGTAGATGAACGCATATCTATAGCTGCCTCTACTCGCTCTTCGAACGCATTCGAACGGCGAACTCCAAGTCCTGCGTTCGCGTACGGACGCGTTCGAAGAGTACCTAGAGACGAAGGCACTAATAGTAACTGTTATCAACTTCTGTTTTTAGAGGAGTATGTACTGTCGAGACCGATTATAACAAAGTCAACGGTAATCGGAAATCACGTCGCTGTATCCGCTATTTCATTTTAACCGACTTCGGTTATAATGAGGTGCAAAAGGGAATAGGAGCTCGTGATCGCTTCGCTGTGGCCACTATTTTGTTATAACGGACTTTGTTATAACCGGTATTGACAGTACAAAGATGGAGACGCTAAGGATTGCCTCCCTCGTCTCTACCCGCCGTCTCCGTTCGATCAGAGCTTTCCGTCCACTCACTAACCATTCTGTCCAGAGCTCGGTGTTCTGACGTCCTCGCACGCTCTCGCCTCCTCCTCTTCCTCGGTTTCTCGCCGTATAGACCTTTTCATTTCAGTAGTTGCCTGACCGGCGGGTAGAGGGCGCTGGCGCACTCGCCGCCATTAGGTTGCTTCAATTTGGTCGGTTTCTGTTTCAACGTTCAAGCGATTGTGATGCTGTTTCATGCCACTTTCGATTAATTTTGCGATATGAATTTCTTTCTAGTAGCACACAGCGAATGAAACAATAGTATTGAGCCACTTGGCAAATCACAGAGTGGTTCCGAGCCTAAATTGCGATCTTTTTTTTATGAACACCAAATGCGTCTGATTCCCCCCATCGTTAATTTCGGCCAGGTTCGGTGGTGAAACAACTGCGCTGATGCACAGGGAGGAGCACCATTGTCCACGGCCGTACCCGCGGACACTAATTTTAAGAAGAAAAAAAAAAGTAAAGAGCAGGACAAACTCAGCCTGCAGCGTGCGCTCGTTGCCTGCCGCCGTGCTTTGGCTGTGCGTGCACCGAGTGGTACGCAAGGTAGATAGCTCGCGCCCAAGTCAGATATTGAACTGATCATCTTATATTGCAACAGACTATATTGCATGAGTGCTTAGTGAAAAGCAGGTCGACAACATGATTAACAATATGCTGAATCACCAAGAACAGATGAACTGACAAGTTTGCTGTTCGATGTTTGGTTTCCGTACACCAACCTTTTCTAACTTCGAGACTCGAAACGTATTTTATAATGACTAGAAAGGTTTCATATAATCACGTAGACAAGGACCTGTGTAGAAAGCTGTTCACTGATTTGAAGCGATGCGCTTTGCACATTTTGACGTCGCCAGCTACTGAAAGTAAATCCCTATTCGCCGTCGACAACCGGCTGCACTCGGGTGATTTTTATGCAGAAGGATTCTTTTCGGCGCCGAATTTTGTGAATCATAGGCACTATCAAGCTGTCTGTGACAGTTTCTTACGCGGGAAGTTCAAATATTTGTGTTGAAATAAATTAATTGAAACTGCATGGTTCTATTAAAAAATGACTCGAGCAACTGAAACACTATGGACATGGGACCAAGCACGATATACAATTCCGTGGAATTCCTAAATAAACCGATGAAGCGAATGCTCATATCACACACGCGATTAAGAACGTAAAACAGATATAGGTGTGATATTGCGAACAAACAAGTTGCCTAATGTTAAGGTACCATTGTTCCTAGCATAAAAATAATTCAAACTAAATTTTTGTTCCCGCGCGCCTTGTTCACAAGTTTCCTGGTGTAATCAAAAGAAACTGTTTTCGATCTTTTGGAGCAACAAAACACCATGTTTTCAGGAAAAACACGTGGCTAATTACGCTGAGTGTTTTTCTTTCCTTCCTTGACACCAATGCGCACTCATATATAAGAACATTGGGTTTCCTATTGCAAATGTTCCGCCCTTATTAGTAATCAAACCTCAGTTCTCATAAGTTATTGGTTTTTGAACTCTCGATATTCAATGTGCGCAAGTGCTAACGCTGATTCCTGTTCCTCTAAAACCTTTTCACACGTATCCCGCACGCCGACGGTAAAAAATATTCAAAACGTGTTACAAAATCAACTACAGAAGTTGTGCGCATAATGTTGTAATGCAATTATATGGAAGACACTTTACGGAGTGAGGCAACTTGCAAGAGACGCGGTGAAACGCGACGAAAAACACAAATTCAACGCATCCGCCAAGGCGCGGACGGGAGAGCGGAGCAACAAGTTGAAGCAACCTAATGGCGGCCGCATCACGTGATTCCAAGATGGCAGCGCCCATGCGGCGGGGGGTGAAAAGGTCTATAGGAAAAGAAACTGAAGGATTTGAAGGAAAGTGGGGAGTCGCCAGACTTGTATACGGAACTTATTGCAAGTGACCAAATCCCTTGTCATCGATTACTCTTTTTTTATTTTTGTAATTATTTTAATCTGCCTTTCATTATAGGTGTTAATCACGATAGCAATTTGATTACTTCTAAAAGTAATACAACTCCTTGTAGCCATTTAATCATATACTATATTTCTTCCTCCCCTTCGAATGGCGCCCGTCGTTTCCGCAATATTCCTGCTAAGGAATCCTCGGCCCAAGTGTCCGACACGGGGATACCGTCTGCCATAAGTTGAGGATTTCAAAGAAAAGTAGTTTGTAATTCGGTGATCCTAATCAAATACCGGACAATACGAAAGGCCCGTTTTCGAACCGGCGGAGAGATGTGCCATTGGGAAAATCTGAAGTAGTCGGAAAGGTAACGGTTAGCTTTTTAAAGTAGTAACCGTCAATTACTTTTTTCTCTCAATTACTCATGTAGTCTAAAGGAATAGTCTCTAACCAGGAGTAATAGTAATTGTAATCAATGACTGTTTTTAGTAATGTGCACAAGACTGGTAGACGTTACCTAGCTGTCCTTGCCCCTACCCACAGTCTTTCTCTAACCAGAGTAATCGAGAACGTCGTCTGTTCCTCGATCAGGGTCTGGTGTTAAGCGTTCGGCATTCTAACTCAAAGATCCTGTCTCAATTGTCCGCATACTGCTGAGCGACCGGACGCCATTATTAGGCAGTTGAGCGTACCGCCATTTCAACCTCCTTGCGATAAACTTTATCTTTTTGGCAACTCGGCCCTGAAAGTTGTCTCGTTAGATGCTGATGCGTTTAGAACCTACCACACTCGGTTGCCAAAGTGGCCAGCTCGCACCGATGGATTGATTTTTGCTACTGTACTGCGTTGCAAATCACGGAGGATGCCTATCTGCAGCCGTGGCATCGTTTCAGCGTTTGACCAGTCGGGACGTGGTTACCGGAACGACACGTTTTGTTCTCACGCGTTGTTAACAACCAAAGGCGGCGACCGCGTTACGACGCGTACCATAATGCGGCGTGCCTTTGTTTGCAGGACGAAACGCTGCTTCTGCTGCATCTCCAGCAACGAGGAGAGCAAAGAGGCGTACTGGTACGTCGCCGAGCTGCTGGCTACATACTACGGGGTAAGGGTTCGAATGCTATGCACCGTTTCATACCGGGTCAGCTAGGCCACACAAGGTCGTGACCAAGACCAAACACTCCCAGAGGGAGCCTCGCGAACAGGAAAAAAAGTAGCGGGATTCCGATCTGTTCGTAAAGCGCTGGATATTCCTACTTACCCGGGTTCAATATACCAACGTTTGATCGCGCAGGCGGCGCCTCCTTTCAGGCAACATTTCATGGGCGCCGCCATCTTGACGTCACGTGACCCAGCCGCCATAGCCGCCCTTCAGTTTCTCGCCGTTCCTCCGCGTTGTGTGCTGCACCGGCCACTACCGGAGCTTTGTTTTCGCGTTCTTTCACGTTCCCCGTTGAAATCGTGTGATTTCTTTAGGTCTTTTCGATATTTCGGGCTTTCATTTAATCATTTGATGTCTATATTTCAACATAGCTCTTGAATTTTCTTATTTATGAAATGGAATAGGACAGCGAATGGATCGACGGTACAAGATTATGGCTTCAGAAACCATGTAAGTTCATCGCATTCTAACGTTTTTTTCGCTAATAAAGGGCAGTCAACACCATCGCGACATATGCAAATTTCAACTGACGCAGAAAGGCTATCCAGTCGTGCGGCTTGCTGCATGTGCGCGCTCGTTTCCGTAAAGCCGACCCCCATGTAAGCGATTTAGCCTGCGACGAGACGAGCGACGGCGACAACGACGACAGTCATCGACGAAGATTTCTCACTGTCGCCTGCTACATCGCTTGGTTTTTTGGGTTTCGTAGCTCACCGTCTTGGTCGCTTGCTCCCGTCGCTTTCATGCGGTTTGCCTCGTCGCGCGACTGCCCGAGCAACAGCGAAGCGGGTCACCGTCGCTTGTCTCGTTGCTCGCCGAATCGCTTGCTTGTGGTTTATTCTTAATATCGAGGCGCCAATGGTTACATACTGTGTGCATCGAAATTAATTGAGTATAAACCACATGTAAGCGATTTGGCGAGCGACCAGATAAGCGATTTGGCGAGCGACCAGATAGGCGACGGCAACCCGCTTCGCTGTCGCTCAGTCAGTCGCACGACGAGGCAAACCGCATGGAAGCGACGGAGCAAGCGACCAAGACGGTGAGCGACGTTTTCTAGAAATCCAAAAACCGAGCGATGCGACGGGCGACAGTGAGAAATCTGCGTTGCTCGTCTCATCGCACGCTAAATCGCTTACATGCGGGTCGGCTTTACGGAATCGAGCGCGCACATGCAGCGAGAAGCACGACTGTGATAGCCTTACTGCGTCAGTTGCAATTTACATATGTCGCAATAGTGTTACCGCCCTTTATTAGCGACAAAAACGTAAGAATGGCATGAACTTACATGGCCATTGAAGCCTCATAATCTTGTATCGTCGACCCATTCGCTGTCCGATTCCATTCCATAAATAAGAAAATACAAGAGCTATGTCGAAATATAAATATCGAATGATTAAATGAAAGTCCTAAATATCGAAAAGACCTAAAGAAAATACAAGATTTCAACGCGAAACGCAAAAGAACACAAAAACGAAGCTCCGGTAGTGGCCTGTGCAGCACACAATGCGGAGCAACGGCGCAAAAATGAAGGTCGGCTATGGCGGCCCGGAAAGCGCGCGAAGGGCGCGCCGACTGGTGGCAGCTCGAGTAACTGACTCGCTGAAAGCGTCTATAGTCAGCGCGGCTGGTGCGCAAGAAGAGCAGCTTTGGAAGGGCTATATGCCACCTAGGAGCGGACCCAACCTCGAACATAGGAGTTCGAGGTTGGGTCCAATGATCGCGGTCGTAGGCCGTCTCAGAGTTGCGAAAATTTCGCATTAGATGGTACCTCCTGTCTAGCTAAACTTAGCTAAGCTTGGCTTTCTTGTCGTCATGCGGGAAGAAAGTGAGGTAGAAGAGGAGAGGAGAGCGAACACCGGAGCTCTGGTTGGAATGATTAGAGGGTAGGTCCAAAGCTAGCTGTCTTTTTGTGTTCACTCCACCCGCCGAACGCGTTCAAAGGCGAATAACAAACACCGGACGCCGGCGTTCTACCTTCCGACGGATTTGACGAATGCAGTGGAGACGAAGGCAGCTAGCTTTAGGTCTACCCACTAATCATTCCAACCAGAGCTCGGTGCTCTGAAGTGCCCGTGCTAACTCGTCTTCTCCTGCCCTCAGATTCTGCCCGCATTAGAAGCTGACGTCGAGTTGCCAATTTGGGCTAATGGCGCATCCCACATTCAAAAGCCATGGGTTGAAACGCCCATGCCACTGTTGGTTGAGCGTGACATGCATGCCGAAGACGCGCCGTCGTTTTGCACGCGCGCTACGATGGGTCTGCGGTGGCTGTCGGCTGCGCGCCACTATTCGCCTCGAGACTCGATTGTCACCGCTCATGCGGGGAAAAGCAGAACTACACGCTTTGTTTTACACTTACTGGGAGCAAAAACGCATGATATACGGAAACGAAGTCGATGCCACGGGAGGCGCTGATGCAGCGTTCGCGGACTGGAAGCAACTGCTGAGAGCTCGTGCTCTGTATTCTTGCCCGTGCCGTTATCAAAGCCAAAGCTACAAGCGCGAGCTAGCCCCAGCTCCATGGCTTTGAGCATAGCAACCTCTATAACCGCTCATTCACACTGGAAGCGGATCCGCGTTCGAAAAGCGGTTGCGAACGCGGTTGTATAAAGATCCAGTACAATTGCACGCGCACTTGATGTCATCGAGTGCACGTGCAATTGTACTGGATCTTCATACAACCGCGTTCGCAACCGCTTTGCGAACGCGGATCCGCTTCCAGTGTGAATGAGCGGTTAGCGATGTGCGCGACCAAAAGCGTCGCTGCGCTCAGCTTTCCACGATTGGCCAAACCATGGGCATGTGAGCATTGTCAGATTGTCAACTTTGACGGTGTTAGTCTCGGATCGCGATGGCTCCTAGCTTCCACTGTGCTTTTTTAAACACACCACCAAACTCGTCGTCGCACCTGATTGTAAGTAGCCAGGATAACGACTGGTGACGTCACGGCGAGGCAAATCCCAGTCGTGACGTCACGAATGGAAACCATAAGAGGGCGCCACCGAAACATCTAGGCGCTAATATTCACAAAGCCTGGCAGTTCGACGACGGAGCCATAGAGTGGTCGGTCGCAGATTTGGAGCTCAAGGATACAGAGCATTTCTCGAAGAACCTGGACGTCAAAACACACCTTTTGCAGCGGCGAGGACCCGAAACATGATTTTCAAACCCGACGAGAAAAGAAGTGGTAGCGCGAGGAACGCGAGGAGCACGAGCGCACATTCCATCGCTCGGGAGAAGTGTTTCGGCGTCTCGTCGCAGCGCAGCGCCCGTCACGTGGCTCTCCTCTCATCCGTTGCCCGCCGGTCTACCTTTTTCATTTCGGCGGCTACTTCTTTGAGACATGCATTTCTAGTGCCAACGCTCGTCCTGCAGAAGAACGCTTCAAAGCAGCGACCTCGTGGACAAATAGAATCACCACGCGTCTTTTAGAGAACCATGGATAACCAAGAGCACGTTTCCCCTAAACTCAATCTGGGTCTCGAAGCGAATTGAGGTGATGTGCGAGTTTCATTACCTCAAAAGACCCTTTTCAAAAGCCCATGTGAACGCCTGTCCGCCATCTTTTGATTACGCACTTGGGGCATTCATTGGACACGAGGGCTGTGTCGGCGTTCGGCGTGAACTCGGCTCAGCTCGCATTGGACACGAGCGCTGACGTCATCGTTCGACGATGACTCGGATCCAATCATGCGCTTCGTGTCCAAGCAATGGCGGTGGCCAGTGTTGCCCGATGGACTTTTGAAAAGTGTGTACGTCACGGTTGCATCGGGTTCTAAGGCGAGAGTTTCTGACAAACAGATATCAAAACACGACTTTGCTCAATTATCATTCATTCCAAGCTCGTTCCTTGAGCGCGGAAATTCAGAATAATGCCCTCTTGTGCGCTGCACTGGGCGCTGATTTCTGCAATTCCAACGAGAAAATGCCGGCTTGCAAGCAGACATTAAAGTTGGTATCACAAAAAAAGAAAAACTCCTCAGTGATTAACAGACCTTCTTCAAGAAGAGTTTTGCGCGTGCACAGGTCCTCGTCACGCAGTGGGCGCGTTCAGTAGCGGCCCGGAGTCAAGGAGTCACTGACTCCTTCCACTGGACGGCCAAAAGTAACTTCCGGTGCACGTAACTCCGGGGCTTCGGAGTCAAGCTCCGAAGCACCGAGTCCGGAGACGGTGCACGTAGAGTCAAAGGAGCTAAAGATGACGTCATTTCCTGACTGGTGATTATTTCCGGCAATAAAAGAGGAAAAAAACAAACAAAATGGCGGGATAAGCTGCTTCGGTTCTGTCCAATTCTGTCGCGGGTGTGCGGTTTGCTCGCTTTTGCTAATGAAAAGTGCTCAAGGTAAGACGAATAACGTGTTCGAATTTCTTTTTCAGGTAAGGCTCCTTAGGGAAATGCATTGGACCGTATTTTGTTTCGTTTGAATATGCTAATAAACAACGTAAACGTTCATTTGACGCCGTGTCTTGATCGCCGTTGCACGGAAACTCGGTGAATATCGACGATAGTCCTCTCCGCGCTGAACAGAGCAAGGCAGGGTATGAACGCGAATTCGGTAGCTGGTTGAACACTCACGCAGAGCATGATCCCGATTGATGTTTTGTTTGCGTAGCTAAATCGGGGTGCACGTTGGCTGACGCTCGCTTCGGCCGACAAAACCTCGATCGCCGAGCGCGGCCGAACTTCCCGTGTGTATACGAATACATTTTATAGAAAGTTCGTTACGGGGGGCAGAACAAACGTACGGCCGTATAAACGTATCGCAACCTGCGGCGTAGATTCGCCGAGCTCTATATTTTGCGTGTGCTGACGACGTTTTTGTTGGTTTTTATAGCAGTAGCTGCCTTTGCACTGCCAAGCTAAGGGCTCGATCGCGTTGCATCGCTTCGAACAGCAGCGCTAATGTGTACAGTCACTCGCTTTTTCTTCAAAGACCTT